AATAATTTTTTATTTTTTAAAAATAATTTTTTATTTTAATTTCATAATTGTTTTTTAATTTTAATTATTAATTTTATTAAAAAATTAAATTTTTTAAAAATAAAATAAATATATAAATTATTCTTAAATATTTAATTATTAGATAAAAACGAAAAAAAAAAACGTTGAAAGAGTCGCAGTAGAAGATTGTACAGAAGTTAACGATCAAAAAAAGGAAAGTTGTGCAGAAGTCGTCCGGGATTCACCACCTGTCAGAGGACTGAGGAAGGCATGTCAAGTGTTCATAAGCCTAGGGCCATTTGATTTTGGTGTACATACTACCCATGTACCACCCCCCCCCCCCCCCCAAAAAAAAAAAAAAACCATGAACAATGGCATTGGCCTCCAACTAAGAACTCAAAAACAAAATGTTTACATTTTTTATGAATTAAAATGTGTTTAAAATTTGTTCAATAGTGTTTACACTCAATTTTGCAATAAATAAAATGGCGTCATGTGTTATTCATGTTGATAGATATTTTATTTGTTAAAAATTTATTTTATTGATACAGATTTCTTCCATATAAAGTTTAATGGTTGTTTTCATGTCATCAATAAAGCCATTTAAGTGTTTCAAATTTTTAGGAATGTAATTGTTAGCAACAATGGATTAGTCAGTTTGTAACAAATTTCATGCTGCCGTTGGTTTTCAAAATGTTATTGTAGATTTTCAGCATGCTGTCAAGAGTGCTAACTACTATAAAAATATGAAGATGAAATGAAGTAAGAAAGGCTTACCTCTCACACAACTAGCCCAATGCTATATACATTTCAATTTTCACAAGTAATGTTTTAATTTAAATCTAATTTTCTCTAACAACTTTCTTAGTTTAGTCTTTAGTTTTATACTAGCACTAACTTTAACTCTAGTTTTTGTTATTTTGTTTTAAACATCTTCACTAATGTATTTGATTTTTTGTAATTTAATTCGTTGCACTTTACTCTAAATTCATCTTTCTAGCTTCCTTTAAGGTTAATTTTATGCTTCCGTGTTGCACAACCTTTATTTCATTTTTTACACTTTCATGCTTTCGCAATGGCACCATGCTTCCTCCTTGCAATTTAGTTTTCTTACTATGTACTCTCTTTCTTCTCTCTTCCTTTATTTTTCTCATTTCTTTTGATCAACAAACTAACATTTTAGCCCTAATTGTGAAAAGTTTCTGATGTTCTTCCAAAGCAATTATTCATGGATCTTTATGCATAAATGTACCCTCATTTTTGCAACAATTTGACCAAAACACATCTCATAATATATTTAACTGACACTCTTCCATAAACTTGTAATTAAGTTCTACGATTAAAAGTAATAAGAGTCACAAAAAAATCTCCTTTTTTTT